TTCACGAAGTTTAGTTAATTTTACGGCTTATTGCAAAGATTAGTTACCAACATAATGTCCACCTGAACGTATAACTTCCCTGCACAAACCGTGTTGAGACCAAAAAACGCAGTCTGAGTTCTGGCATTAAGCAATGCAAGCGTGACGTTTTACATTGCTTAATGTCACAACTCAGACTGTTTTTTTTTTTTATTTTTGTCTAAACATGTTTCGGCATCGTCATTGCCTGAGCTGCTTCTGGAAATTGCGGTGATTGGCTCTCCGAGTGTGGTTCGGGAAAGTAGACGCACGGGCTTTTTTTAGAGTCTATCGTCTTAAATACTTAGTCATTCAGCTACTATCCCACATGCCCCAAAATTAACCATGATTGGCAACAAACGTCTGCTGAAATGACCTGTTTACCGTGGGGGTAAATCTCTACCTATCGTCTTAAGTACTTACTGATGCAGCGTGGAAGATGGTACGACGGACCTGAACCTGCCTGCACAAAACAAAACAAAAAAAAGGCGCCACCAGTTTTCTACTTTCCGTTATTGGTGGTTTCCTCCTCTCCACTTTATTCGTTTTAGCGTTTGCTCTGCAAAGGCAGGAAGAGCGCGGTGCTTTGTTAGATAAGCTTATCCAGGCAACATTTCTAGTGACCCATACAAAGAAGCCTACCATGCTCCGTCTTTAGATAACATGAGGCCGCCTCTGCGCAGAGTTCATATTACAAAATATATCACCACCTGCAACAAGGAGGTGGTTTTTAGTTTATTTCTGAAACCTTACAGTTTCTTTTGAGAACAAATGTAACGAGATACCTAAACCTGGCAGAGCATCGCGATACAATCACTACGCCCTAAATGTATTCCACTGCTGAGACACAAATACATTTTTAAAATGTATCTCCACGCAGCAATACAGATACTCAGAGTATCTCTACTATCGAGACACCGCCCAACCCTAGCCACTTTTCCGCATTGCACACCAAACCTTCCAGTTCTCAGTACCGGTTTCAGACTCGATGCTCTCGTGTAGGAAAGCGAAGGCGAGGAATACACATGACCTCGCGTCGCACGGTCGTGGAAGCACTTCTAATAACCGTAAAGCGGATAAAAATGTCAAAATGCAGGGAGAATCTACAGCTGTTGTTTTCAACTATCTACAGCGACACGCAATTACCGTTGTCAAAAAGGGGAAATAGATTGCCGAGAAAAACAAAAGCTTCATTGTCCGTCGAAAGCACGTGTACAGGTCAAAGCACTAATTATTCTCCGTCTTCCCAAAGCATCATCATGTGACCTCCATAGAAAGCAAGCATGTGGCAGCTCGTATCTTTTATAAACAGAGAAAATGTGTGCTGTGAAATCCAAAACATTTCAACCATTTCTACGGAGCAGTCTATTGGGAACTGCAAAAACTCGATAATTTTAAATAGCCTTTCTGAAAACTGGTAACTGTAATTTAAAATTATGCATGATGTTTTTTTTTGTTTTTTTTTTAATGCGATAACATTCTTCAGTTTTTTCGCCGTTTTTTTTTTGCGATACGATATCTGGCGTCTAATGCACGGCGCGTATGCGGGGCGCATCCGCTTACGCAGGACGTCGGCACACGCAGGCGCCGCGCTTATGCGGACGACTTCTTCGACGTCGTCTTAGAGGTCGCCCTTGAGGTCGTCCAAGAGGTCTTCCTAGACGTCGACTTTGACATCGTTCCAGAGATCGCGCTAGAGGTCGTTCTAGAATGCCTCTTCGACGTCGTCCTCGACGTCGTGCTAGGTCGTCGTAGGAGTTGTTCCAGACGTTGTCCTGTAGGACGTCGTGCTTAGTGTCGTCTTAGACGTCGTCCTTGATGCCATCCTGGAGGTCATCCTTGAGATCGCCCGAGAGGACGTCCTAGACGTCGCCATTAACGTCGTCTTCTACGTCGCCCTCGACGTTGTTCTTTACCTTGTTCTTGAGGTCATCCTAGAGAACGTCCTAGGCGTCGCCTTTAACGTCATATTTGACGTTGCTCTCAAAAATGTCGTCTTAGCAAGCAGATAAACCCGTTTCGCGCGTACACGGAACGGCAGTATACTACACAATCACACTTGCCCCCAAGCTAGTTGCTACTTGGTCAATGCTGGTGGTGAAACAGGTTGAACATTAAACGATTACACAGCCCACAGTTCATTGTGGTTTTTAACGTTAACGTTGAACATTGAACATTGAACGATTACACAGTCCACAGTACCCAATTACACAGTTCGTAAAATAGAGCGTTTACTAAAATATTGCATCGTCCTATTCAAAGTGAGCTGCGTATTGAGTCTCATGACCAATGTTACCGCAGTTCATAGTGTCACTAATGCAAGGTGAAACAAAGAATAACTGGAGAAACTGAGCGTTTAATAAGGCGAACTTGTGCCCCAAAGTAAAAAGCGAACAGAAGAAAGCAGAGCGTCACGCGCGTCGAAGTTGGCGTGACAGCAGATTCCAAAGCTGGGGCGAAACTGACTCCGGCTGGCCGCGCTGAGGGAGCCCCTTTTGTACACGCGTGGGCTTCTGGAACAATCCGCGTAGACGGTTCGGCGTGTCGAACATTCTAACCTCGAATCAGCAACACGGTTCTCGAATTCACCAGAACATTACTTTAGAGTCAACAAAAATTATTATCCGCGGCCAGGATTCAAACCTTGGCTCTCTGCATGGAAGACACGTGCGATAACCTTTAGGCTAAAACCGTTAGGCCACAAGCGCGCGGCCTACTAGGCAGCTGCGCTCGCGGCAATAGACAATCCACAATAGCGGTTTCTAGCGACAAGTTTCTTTGTACTTTTTGGGAACAAAAAAAAAATTAGTGAAATTTTAAAGGTCATACGTTTATCCTCGTATTATGAAAACTCCGAAGGGCACGAAAAACTTTAGATCAAACTCCACCTTGAGATTTTTTTTTTCTTTTTGTGACGAGCACAATATTTCTGTTCATGTGTCTTTAAAAAAAAACAAAAAAGAAACAACAACAACATTCGTCTTTTTATTTGGCTCTTCTGACTGTTACCTTATTCGTTTTTTTTTTTTTTTTCAGTAAAAGAATCCCGGTTGATGGAAGCTTTCTAGTTCTATAAAAATTACAAGAGGACATTTCAGACTGCTGTCTAGGAACACGAAAGCATTCGTGTAAGTAGCGTAATCCTGCAAGCTTCGTCCCTCGCTGAGCCCGGCTGAGCGACCTCTGCGGAGGCAGCCCATGCGGGCTCTGCAGTGCGGCCGGCGGACGCTCTTTTACCGGCGTGCGGGCCGTAGCGCCAGGAAGAGGGTTATTGTGCGGGGTTGCGTTCCTTGGAACTCTCCGTGTTGCGTCGTCGCAGCCATTTTGACTGCCGTTTGCGTAAGGAATTTACCGCCCGCACCACTCTCACTTTTAACTGCCGTATGGGAGGGAAATTAGGAGCCGTTTCTTCGCGGTCACAGTCAGTGCCGGCTGCGCTCTATAAAACAGGTAAAGCTTGCGCCTTAAAAAAAAGAAAACAAAAACCTGGTATGTTTAGTTCGCGATAGGAGCTTTTGGGCTATCTAAAATGTTGTTGAAATGAATTCTGCGAATTTATCGCTTTAAACTGAATTCAAGTTTTGCAAGATTCTTTGCCGTAATTTTGGTTTTATAGTTGCAATTTTTGTAACTTTTGCATGGGCAGCTTCTGAATTCGGCGCGAAGTCTTGGCACGAATCGAGAATCAGGGATGCATCAGCATTCGCCGGGCTGAGAATTTAATCACCCTCTTTGTGCCTAAGAATTGGCGACCGCCAGTGTTGCTTGGCGGGTTTTTCGAAAAGTGCCTATTTATGCCATATAGACGCCGAACAACAAAAACCGGGCTCTTCCATTTAGAGGAGTAACTAGTTAAGACGTCTATTGTTGTTTGATGGGGCAGCGGTACGGTCAAGTTTCTTGTCAAAGGATTTTTCCTTTTGCTCCAGCATATTTCTTCTGTTATTGAACATACATATTATTATTAGAGTCCTTTTTCTTCAACTAAATAATCAATATCGTCAATGCTTTCTATGTTCTAGGTGGAAAGGTTTTGGAAATACTCCCACTGGGCAATCATATTGCCAGGAATAATTAAACTACAGCATGTAGACTAACGCTTCTAACCCACTTTAGATAGTTCGCAAAACTTTGTTTAACGCGCTGCGATTCACTACGGAGGTGCAACTAGGTGGTAAAAGCATGGAGGGAATATATTAGCAAATAAACTTAACTTGCTAAAAAAATCTAAAAAAATTGAAGACCTTTACTATTCTCTGTAATGCGAAATCAGAGCGCAGCTCTTGAGGAGGAGGAGGGCAAGGTATGCCCCTCCTCCCCCTCTGTACTCTTCCCCTCTCCTCCTCGTCCCCATTTAGCGGGAAATTTTCGCTAAAGTTCACGCTAAATTTAGCCAGAAATTTATCGAATTTTTTTTCTCTAAGTTTGGCGCAAAATTTAGCGAAAATTACCCCGCTAAATTTAGCGGGTTATGTTTCCCCGCTAAATTAAGGGAGATCTAGCGTAAGTTTTGCCGCTGTAATTAGGGGAAAAATTAGCGAAAATGTTACTGCCAAATTTACCTGGGTAAGTTTCCTCGCTACATTTAGCGGGGAAATCAATATCGCGCAACCTCAAAACTATTATCGTGAGGAGAACGTTACTACGTGCTGTATCGCGGACCACTCGGCGAGTGGCGTGCGATACCATTATCTGTATATAAGCGACGCACTTGAATAAAGTCACGCTCTTGTCTGTTGGAATGCTGTCCTGACAAGTTAGTACATTGGCGACCAAGGAGGACTGCTACTGCCACTTCGAGCGCCGTTTCGTTTCACCTTTAGTAAGATGGCCGCCGACCGGCAAAACTGGCTTCACCCAGTGGCGTGGGAGAGAGCGGGAGACCGCCACTCCAGAAGTCTTAATATAACCTCCTTGTTGGCAACGAGGCTGTCAGAGCGCCGCGCAGGCACACGGAGAGAGCAGCGAGAGTCAGGCGATCGGACAGCAAGCTACCGCGTCGATGGAACCAACGCCGACACTCAGGTCACGGAGTCAAGATAGTAAGCGAGAAGTACACCATCACCCACCGCTTCAAATGACGCGGTTAGGAAGGATTGACGAGTTCGATGAGAAGGCGCAAAACTTTGAATCATATTTAGAGCGATTTGAGCATTTTGTAATCGCGAATGATGTCAAGGTCGAAAAGAACCTAGCCGTGTTTCTAACCGTAATCGGAGCTCAAGCGTATGAAGTAGTCAAGAGTCTGGTTCTGCCGGATATGCCAAAAGAAAAGTCATTCGAGGATGTGAAGTTGCTTCTCAAGAATCACTACAGTCCGAAAAGCTTGGTTATTGCAGAAAGATGCAAATTTAACCGGGTGGAAAAGGAACAAGAGATCATTAAAGACTTTATTTCAGCCTTAAAGCGCCCTGGGGCAAGTCGGATGAGAACGCAAACACGGAGATTTGTATGGTGGTCTGGATTAGACCACGCAGTCGAAACCTACGTGCGCGAGTGTGTCACTTGCCAAGCATTCCAAAACGCTGCCCCACCTTTAGCCAGGGAACTATCCGACAAAGTGTTGGCGGCATGTACACGTAGATTTTGCAACAAAAGGAGGCCATGCCTTTTTAGTACTGGTGGACGCTTTTTCGAAATGGATCGAAGTGTGTCCTGTGTCTTCCAGAATCACTGCCAGAACAATCGATAAACATCGAAGAGTGTTGGTTAGTGATAACGGCCAACAATTCATTTCGAAAGGGTTTTCCGATCTTTTAAATGCTGACAACATTAAGCATGTGAAAACACCACCCTGTCACGCTGCTTCTAACGGCGCCACAGAGCGTCTTGTCCACACAATGAAAAAGGTGTTGCTGAAGCAGGTACCAGATGAAGAGCTCAAAGGAATGAAACATTACCTGCTGGAGCGTTTAGATAGTTACTTAATGAGCTATCGAAACACGGTTGTATCATATAATGCTCCATTCTGCTCCCACTTAAGTGATAAGAGTTTGCTCGGGTGACAATAAATGAAACGAATCTGAGGAACCCCAGACTTCTTAAAAAAAAAATCTAAGGACTGTAGGCGAGGTCTCCTCTGGCATTCACACATCTTGTCTACGTAAGACGTTCCGTGTTTGACTTTCACGGATGTAGCCTATTTAAACCTAAACGGCATTACAGGTTGGTGAACCGTAGAACGATAACTAAGCTAAATTCCAAGCTGGTAACGCTTTCTCGTGGATAGCGTCTCATCCAAATAACACTTAAATATTTGTTTCCAAGATGAGCCAAAGTAAGGCAGCGTGTTTCGTTACTGTAACGCCCGAACAATTTGTCTGACAATGATGTTAATTGCGTTAATCCCTTATCCATTATTTCGTGTTAAAAAGACGGGAATCTTTCGGTTAATTTATATAAATAAAAATTATAAATATGGTGACAGTACAGACCATTGTCCGGTAAGGTATTGTAGTGCCATGAAGATGTAGGGTTTTGTTTTCTACATCACGGCTTTACACAGTTATATCTCCATGTACAGGATTCAGCACCACTGCCACTGTGGAAGAGGGCAGTAGATGAAAGCTCTAGTTGAAGATATCACATCTTCACAAACATAACCATGAAAGCTTCTTTTTATTAAAGAAAAAAAATTCTAGGAATATCCCCCTGCGGCGCAAAGCTTAACAGCTGTCTTTTCCGACTTATCAGGTACGGAATACAGCATTCTGCTGCAATGACGTAAAAGTTACTGAAACGCTTGCTCTCTTCCACTTTGATAACCGAAGAAAAGCTCTGCGCGTACCCTCCTCCCCTTCACGAGAAGGACACAGGATGTCCTCCTGGCGTTTATTGCCGTGCGCAATTGTCGCTGTCAGAGCAGGCGACATATATAATACAAGTAGAGCATCTGGCGTGCACATCGTTGGTCGCAACACACCTTTCCGGGCGAAGCCAGCAATCGAACAAAGTGTCGGCTTGTTGAAACATCCGTTCGTACTAGTACCCTGTATTTCGCAGTAGGAGCAGACATAGCGGCAGCAGGGACTTGCATAAAAAGGGGGAATTTGTGTAGTATCTGTATCAGAGCAATTCAGCCACTTCCAATAAGTTCTTCATCATGTACGGCACGAACCTGATAAGTTTCGTCGCATTTCTGACAATCGGTAAGTGTTCTTTTCTGAATATACTGGCACTATGTCGATCGAGGGTGTTGAGGATACAAGGTCACTAAGTATAGTGTGTGTAACAATGCAGTTGAAGGCACGCCTTCAGTGCGAGCTACTTGGCTTCCATCAACACCTCTGTGTCTCCTGATCTCGCGCATCAAAAGCCAGACGTACACGTAGAGATGTAGACTCGACTTCATTCTTAGCTTGTGCCCGATTATAGAATAGCTATGTAATACACTTCTGCTGAACGTGCTGTTAATTTCTAGTTTTTATCCGCGATTCTCGCCAAGCTCGCATGGTGTTTTTGCTCAGTCCCGTTGGCACACGGTAACATTCTTCGAAAAGGAGAACCCTGACGATAAGAAGTGAAATGTGGCTATTTTTTTTCTTTTTTTTGTACTAACCTTTCTTTTGTGGCTGCCGACGCAAGCGCCATTACTCCCATAACCGGCGATATGAAAGTTCGACAATGCGTTTCTAAAATCCATGCTTTTATATTAGAAGAAGGGCATAATTACGTCTGTGGAAATACCCTATAATATCTTACTGACAGTCTTTCACGCGTTTGTTTTTCAATAATGTCGCTGTATCTTGTTCTTCGTGCAGTAAAATTGTATTCTTGTTGTACCATTTGTCGTAAATAACGTGACTGATGGACATTTATAAAGGTGAGAATCAGAAAGCAGATGTGTTAAAACATTTTTAATTCAAGTAGAAACCGCTAACTTTTCAGTCAACAGAGAATAAAAAAGACACATCTATCACTCTCTTCATCTATCGCTCTGCCACTGAAGGCTATGAAGTCTTTTACCCGATATAAATATGCACGTCTACAGTGTAGTGGTGGATAGAAAGGTAAACTTAGTGTGAAGTTATATATACAGGGTGCTTTTTTTATTCTTACACGTTTGTTTAAAAAAAAACTGTGAAAGCTACACTATGCGGTTTGTTCAGGTGCGTTATGCGACCAGGCGGACATTATGTGGGTGGCTAATCTTTGCGATAAGTCGGCTAATTAATTAAAATTTGTTAATTAACTTTTTAATTACTGAAAATAGAGATATGGTTCCAAATAGAAACTTGTAGAGCATAATCGAAAACCACTAAATGAACTATTTTTGGAAGGATATAACGCCGGTGCAGCATTTTACGGCGCTCTGTAAAAACGCTCCATCTGGACGCGTTTCTAGATTTCGGTTTCTTATCGGAGCACATCACCGCGCCCGCGGTCCTCCTCCCCAGTGGCTGAGACGCGCAACACACGCGCGCCCTACTTCCCTCCATTCTACAAGAGAGGCCAGGGGTAGCTTCGCGCCGCGACCACCGGGGAGCATAAGAAACCGATAAGAAGCCGAAATCTAGAAACGCGTCCAAATAAAGCGTTTTCACAGAACGCCGCAAAAATGCTGACCCGGCGTTATATCCTTCTAAAAATAGTTGATTTATTGGTTTTCGATGATGCTCAGCAAGTTTCTAATTGAAACTATATGTCTATTTCCACTAATTAAAGAGTTGATTAACGAATTTAAGTTAATTAGCCGACTCATCGCAAAGATTAGCCGTCCGCATAATGTCCGCCTGGCCGTATAACACACATGCACAAACCGCATAAGTGTAGCTTTAACGGATTTTTTAAACAAATGTGTAAGCATAAGAAAACACCCTGTATATAAAATCTACGCAGTGTTTTCTAATTGAATTTGAACGACTTTATTTAATACAAAAGCCGTAAAAATTGTATGCTATGGTGGTTCCTGTGGGTAAGTTGTGCGGAAAGAGGGACATATTTAGGGCGGCTAATTGTCTAGAGAAGCCTAATAATTAGATTAAATTGGTTATTCATCTCTCAGATATAAAATAGATACATATATGGTTCCGGTTAGAAACTTACTGAGCTTTATCGAAAATGACTGAATCAGTCAATTTTAGAAGGGCCTCAAGCACTTGAAAAGGGCGGAGGCGAGCTAAAGTTATCACTCGTACCACATGCAAAAGGCTGACAGGGCAAAAACGCGGAAGGCGATAATATCAACCCTGTTTTTGAATAGTTTCCCGGTTGACTGTGAGTTCAGGCAGAAATGTGCGTGTTAAAAGTCACTCTCTCGGGGGAAGGGATCAGATATAAGAACAGAAGGCAAGGTAAAGGCGATGTGGGTGGTAGTTAATATTATTGAGAAGGTTGTAAAGCTAGTATTTCAACTTTTTTTTTTCCATAGGCCACAGAAAGTGACACTAAAGCACCCATCAAAATGATTTAAAAAAAAACAAAAAAAAAACAAACCTTACAAGGGTGGGCGGACATGGTGACCATTACGTTTTGCCGTGACCAGGTCAACCCGTCATCTTGATGGTGGCGGCAAAACAATCACAGGAAAACAAATAACAAGTATGATTTATTTAAAAAAGAAGAATGCAAAAAAATTGAGATTGAAAAACATGAACAATAGAATGCTTTTTTTTGCCTTTTTTTTGGGGGGGGGAGGAGGATAGTAAATCTTTTAGCACTTACGCTTGGCAAAGCAATCCCAAGCACACTCAATCTTGTTATGCAAGAGTCCCACTAGAACGAAAACAGAAAAAACCAAACGGGAATGCCTCAAGCACTTGCTGCAGGGAATCCCGGAGAAAAGCTCACCGGAGAAAAGCTCACCGGAGAAAAGCTCACCGGAGATAAGCTCACCGGAGAAAAGCTCACCGCGAAACCGGCGGATGCGGAGAAAAGCTCACCGGCCATTGAGCGTATGCAAAGAAAAGCTCACGGATTTTTTTTCATTCATTTTATATGGAGGCTGTTAGATCATGCGTAACATATATCAATTTATTATCATTAAAATTCATCAGCTTTGCAGAAAAGAAAGTGTCTTCTTTTGTAATATTTGTTAAGCTTATTGTGTATATTGCCTCCAATTTAATAATTGCGGGCCGGTGTTTTCTGTGGCTTAATCTTTAGGCAACGAAAGCCGAACTGAAATCTTTATGAACATGAAGAACAGGAATTGTCATTTATTGTCATAGCGGCGTGTTGCCAAGGTTGCTTGGAACACAACCTACGCAACCGCGTGAACCATCCTTTGCGTGCTTGCTAACATTCATTAGCGCGGTAGAAGGACAACAGGCACTTCATACATCGATTCTCCGAACGAGACTAAGCATCTGGATACTCGCTTCAGCTAAAGCGCCGCTAGAGGTTTTCAAGGTAGGAAATAAAAATTAGGGTAAATCACTTTGAAACTAATACTTTCTCGCTTAAACCAGAGCGTTGTGCGTTGAGCTGGCACATTGGCCGGACACGACCTGTTTTCCGCTGCAATATATGTCGGGAAGTAGTGACCCCTATTAGGCAGGAGGTAGAACTATTTGGGGCGCTCTATCGAGCTTGTTATTCCCACAGCCCGGTGTTGACTAATTGCGAACTCCACAGGTCGTTTTGGAGCGCGCCGGGATCGACTTTTCTGGAGCGAGCCTATTTCACTGGGCGATCGGGATCAAGAGCGACGTGTTTCACTGGTCGTTTTGGATTAGCTCCCGCTCCAGATCTCGATCTGGATCCGAGAAAAGTCGCTCCCACGATTTCGGCGGATTCAACCGGAAGCCAGCCGGGCCAGCCCTCGGCGCACACACGTGACTTCCTTTCTCGTGTGGCATCTCGCCTGATCTCGCCCATCTCGCCTCAGAAGAAGAAGCACGTCGCGGGCTGGGCTCCTAGATTGTCTCGATATCAGAAGAATTCGGAATGGCCGCTTGATTACCCCTTGGCTCGACAGCCGGTTCGTTTTCCAGGAAGAAGAGAAGGTATTTGGCCGCGCTACGGGCAGTCCGGCAATCTTTGCTAGAAGCGCCTGAGCCATTCCTGCCACGTGTTAGCGCCGCGATTGCGGAAACGTCTTTGAAACGACCGCGGCGGCGGCGGAAAAGGAATTCCCGGGCAGTTGAATGACGGGAAGGCTTCCGCCGATCCCGGAGCAGTGGTCATGTTCCAATGGGGATTTGTAGGCGGCGCGACCCCGTTCGGATCGTGTGCTCCAGTCCGGATCTGGTCAACTGATCCCGGTGCGCTCCAAAACGCCCTGTGGAATTCGCCATAACACAGCACAACAAAGAAATTGAACCTCGCTTCGCACGGTCTGGACACGAGCGCTTCCGTCAGACCAGGGCTTTGGTCGCACGAGGAGCGGCCTTCTTGCCGTCATCTTCGATTTCTCTCATCAAAAATTGCGGAGCCCTTCCACTTCACGTGAAGATGGAGGTCCAGCGAAGCAGTTATTTTTACGATGTCTAGGACGATTCATAGAGGACAACGTCTAGAACGACCTCAAGGGCGACCTCAAGGACGACTTCTAGGACGAAGTTGAGGACGACGCCTAGATGACGACTTAAAGACGACTTCTAGGTCGACTCAAAGGCGACCTTAAGAACGACTTCTAGGACGAACTCGAGGACGACTTCTGGGACGACTTCTAGGACGACGTCTAGGACGACCTCGAGGACGACGCCTGGAGGACGACGGCATGACGACCTCAAAGACAACCTCAAGGAGGACTTATAGGACAGCCTCGAAGACGATGCCTATAGATTAGGGGTGGCCAAACCGCGGCTCGCGAGCCGCATGCGGCCCTTTGCTGGTCCAAGTGCGGCTCGCGGATTCCTCGTAAGGGATCCCCCCCCCTCCCCCCCTTCCCACATTTCCGCAGGAAAAAAAGAAGGGATTTCAGGCAGAATGAAGTACGGCTCGCGGTTTGGCAGCCTTGTACCTCCATACGTACTGTCGTACAGCCTTGTGCACTCATACATACAGTCAGACTCTGAACAAAATTTAAACTTGCCCCCCCCCCCCCCCCCCCCCCCCCCGTGGCTCTTAGAAGTTTCGTGGTTTCGTTTGCGGCTCTTAGTCCTGGTCGGCCTGGCCACCCCTGCTATAGATGATAACAAGGAACCAGAGCCTCACTATCTGATAATGCCAAGGAAGGCTGACTCACGTTGGTGGCCCCCTCTTTTTATTTGTATTTATTCATACTTGCCACGAGCAACGGGGAGTTTTCTGTCAACATCCGCGGACACATTTTTCCCCAGCTTCTAGTGCATAGCAGCTTCGCTGTAAAAACGAACAAGAAAATTCGGGGTTGCTTTTCCCATAGTTGAAACGTGCTGCTAGAGGCGTGACTGTTCGATCTGCCCTCCAATAGATCGCAGGGAAAGCGAATACCTTTGAGAGACAAGCGGTTTCTCGGTGCGTGTAAATAAGCACCAGTGATGCCAAATATGGCAAAATTTAAAGTTGGCTACCCCTATCCTTTGGGTCAACCAAACAGCTTGTGGCGTAGCACTGCGGACGCGCGGAAGATCTCTGCTTGCGCAGAGTGGCGCCCCAAGCTGCTTCGAGGACCCAACGTGCCGGGGCTTCCTTTATAACACCCTATAATACCTTCCTGTTCTGCCTGCACATGCTTCATGCTACTAAAATCTTTGTGCAGTCATTAATGTTACATTGTTTTTGGTCTAATATTAGTTATCCCCTCTACGTAGCACTGCGGGCGCGCGGAAGATCTCTGCTTGCGCAAAGTGGCGCCCCAAGCTGCTTCGAGGAGCCAACGCGCCGGGGCTCCCTTTATAACACCCTAAAATACCTTCCTGTTCTGCCCGCACGTGCTTGATGCTACTAAAATCTTTTTGCAGTCGTTCATGTTATAGTGTTTTTGGTCTTAAATGAATGATCCACTTTTGAATTTAATGAAATTCAATATTTGGAATTTAAAATTTTTTTGTTTAATAAATAAATAAATTTTAATTATAAATTTGAAATAATGAAATAAGAAGAAAAGAAATAGCTTTATTGCTGATCCACCTCTCCAAGGGGCCATTCAGGAAGGTGAAGCTGAAATCAAACTAGTATCGCATTAGAATGCAATTTGCTTTCCCGCGTACTTCAATAGTCAATCGCGCTTTCAGGAACTGTCCTGTGCAAAAATACCGATGACCAAGGAAATCCTAGGCTAGCAGAGGGCCAGACAGAGTGCCGCTCGCTGGGACTGAACGACCGCCTGGCAATCGTCACTGGAGGCGCGAGCGGGATCGGCAGGAGCGTCTGCATGGTACTGGCTCGAGAGGGCGCCACTGTTGTGGTGGCAGACAGGAACAGGACTGGCTCTAATGAGACCATACAGATGCTGCAAGGTGGGTCGGATCATCAACTGTTATCCTATCGCCTTCCCTGTGCAAATCCTTGAACGTCCACACCAGCTAGAAATACATTTGGTTCGACACGGACTGTGCCTTATCAGCCGAATCGAGTTTTTGCCAAATTACCCAAGTACCAAAGATAATGCCGAACAGGTCCTGGAGTCTGCAAAAGTAACTGTTCACATTCAAAATCTCAAACAATTGGTACTTCGCCGTGTGTTTCACTTAGCCTTTTTTCGAATCGTTTATATAGGTGAGGCGAGCTCGTGCAGCACGTGTATATTGGCATGCACAGTATTATCTTTGATGCTTGGTTAATTTAGAAAATTGTCTATTCTACGAGAAATCTGCATTAAACAATTGTCAAGAAGAACCGTCACGAAGGAGCGTCTTCAAAGACCGTCACGTCAATTTACCCGCTAAATTGAGCCAGGAGAATAGTAACACCTCACATCCGTTTTCCCGCTAAATTTAACGGAAAAATGACCACCACGTGACCTCGTCGTCTGACTTCGTCACGTGACCTCAAAACTTCCCTCCGATTCAGCAGTTGTCTATAACCGGGAAATTGACGTCACGTGACGTGGCACGTCATGTTACCTCAGGTCACTTGACGTCAATTTTGACGATGTGGTTCTGTGCAATGGTCGCTTGTGCTCTACACTTCCTGAGCTTCCCCGTCTTTGTCTGCATTATCAAACATGTATATTTGTGTTTATATTCAAGAATCGGTATTTACACCTCACAGTTTGCCATAAAGCTCTTTACAATTGTTTATTAATAGCAGATATGTTGACGACTAAAATGTTTCTTTAAATGAAGGATACTAAAAATGAATTAAAAATTAAGAAACAGTCCTTTTCTCTGCAGCTCTTGATATTCATCCTTTTGAATTAACCTGAGACTGGGGTAGAGAAGAAACATCAAAACGTAGAAGGGACAGAAAATAGACAGGATGACGTCTCAAACTCAGCTAACTCATTTATTTATTCCACCCCCTTATATAGTCTCAATCTCAAGGTCATCTCCACCAACACAAAAGGACAAAGTTATACAGATCAAGCGCCACTGCTTTCGTCACACAATGCAAGAACGTTGACAACGTTTAAAGGTCGACGCGATAAGGCAACATTCATCCACCCTCAAACTTGAACAGAAGGATCTCTTCCCCTACTATTCTATAGACCATTCCATTTAGCGCTCTCTGGGCGGCACAATTTTGTTCGACCGCAGCAACCTCTCCACACATCCGGGAAGTTCAGCGGGTTCGGCGGGGTAAAACGAGAGAGAGGGCACGCGCCCGACTCCGCTAGCAGACGACAAACCGGGAGGTTGCCGTTCTCCATCGTTGGGCTGTATCGGCGGGCTCTTTCGAACATCGAACTCTCGCTCGTGGCTGCCGTTGTGAAGTAGTTCGCGTTCTTAGAATAGTTGTGGCTACTCCAACATCAGCCTTTAGCTCCCTGTTGTTCTATTTTGCTAAATGATCAACTAGCATATCTTTTTTCCGTTACTTAAATAGTAGTTGAGTCAGCCGGCAGTACTACCCTCAACTACTGCGTGTATTGCGGCAGGAGAGCACGTTTTATTTATTATATCAGACTTCCACTCATGGTCGCTAAAAGCCTACACCAGTACGAACTTTGTATAGTAAAAAATGCACAGCAACTGGCTTTACTTTTCACCAAAGAGACCGGCCAATCTGACACAGTTTTCTCTATTTTTTTTTATTTGCACGCAGGTAACAGCGCAATTGGACCCTGTGAGTGTTTTTATCTAGCATATTATTACACGACAACTGGCATACCAAAATCTGCGCATCTGCGCTTGAAAGTTTCAAAATGACGCGATTTTAAACAGAGTTTGCACGCCAGCCGGACGCTAGCTACAGCCCACTCGGCGGAGCGGACGACATCCGGGGTGAGAGGGGGGAGTGCATTTTTTTCTCTTTTACCCTCTCTGCTATGACCCTAATGGAACGGTCTATACACACTTCATTCTTCTGAATCTTAACACGCCGTCTGTACAAACAACGGAAAAAAGGAACACTGAAACGATAGGACAATACACGTAAACACCCCCCCCCCCCCCAAGAAAAAAAAAAAAAAGGTTGTATTGGTTTTGGGAAAATCACAAGCAGTTAAATCAGGTTGTTTAAGTGCTTGTGATTTTGTAAAAAACTGCGCTTCTTTTTTTTTTCTGTGGGTCTCCACGTGTATTGTGCCTACTATCATTTCAGTGTTTTTTTTTTTTTATTTTCTGTAGAGAGGGCGCGTTATGAGTCAAAAGTATGAACTGTGTACAGAATAGTAGGGGAAGAGATCTTTTTGCTCAAGTTTGAGGGTGGATGGATGTTGCCTTATCGCGTCGACCTGTAAACGTTGTCAACGTTCTTGCATTGTGTGATGAAGGCTGTGGCGCTTGATCTGTATAACCTTGTCCTTTTGCGTTGGTGGAGATGACCTTGAGATTGAGACTATATAAAAAGGTGAACTAAATAAATGAGTTAGTTGAGTTTGAGACGTCGTCCTGTCTATTTTCTGTCCCTTCTACGTTTTGATGTTTCTTCTCTACACCAGCCTCAGGTTAATTCAACATGGTTAATATTCACCAGCTCGCCTGCACCCTCACGAGTTTTTCTTGATGTTCACCTGGTTGTTTTAGCATCTTCCACTATTGTAGCTACTGCATCAGTACACCTGTTCATCTGCCTTTGACGGTATTGGAGGTCGAGACTCCTATGAGCGGCAGTGCCTTTTGTGTTTGCTTCCTTCGCCGGTATTATTGGTGAAACTTCAAAAAGAACGAAAGAAATTAAATTAAAAGGAGCAGGGTGATTAACAAAATCTTGTCTAAAAGTTTGAGGCTTAAACAGTTACATTGATCTAGAAAAAAAAAATGTTTGCTACCCCCCGTGGCGTAACCTCCTATATAGGGGGAAAGCCTGCGCGCTTTCCGCGCCAGATACAGTCGCCAAAATTGGGACTAAGAGAATGACAGAGAAGGTTTAAGGACGGTGGCACCCTCATGATTCTCTGGGCACTTTCCGAAACTTTCCTCCTAAAGTTATATCTAGTCCGTCATTGGCTATAGGTTGCCTTCCATGGCCATGACTTTACACGTACTGTTTTTGAAAGTTTCATGGCTTTCGGTCTATATTATTAAGAGGAAAAAACTAAACAAAATTTTTAAACATTATACATCTATATATATTTTTTTCTTACTTTTTAAGACAAAACTTTTTTATTCGTGCACTGCTTATGTGGCGCGAATCAGGTTTTACGCCAGCACAGTTGTATTGTGTGGTTTGTGTTTCGCTTACGTGCGGGAGTTACATCAACGAAAAGCAAGTGCTTAAACTAGCTGGTGCAGATTGAGCAGAATGGACCCTTTTAAAAGGTCCATCATGCAACATTGATGGTCGCCATTGCTCGAACACGAAGCGTGTGATTGAATCCGACTCCTCGTCGAACGCTGACGTACTACTCGTGTCCAATACAAGCTTAGAGCTCTTGATCAAGCAATGGCGGACAGGCAATAGCGCGGACTTTTGAAAACGGTCTATGCCAGACTTCCCCGAGACTACGGTAAAATAAAAAAAAACAGCAGAAACACGAATTCTTTCGCGAGTTAGTACTTCGGCTGTTTCACCTTTCTTAGGGTTTTCGTATTTATGTAGAAGGTGTTTTTTTTATTTTTAGGGTAGTTTCGCTTTTTGAACGGAAGTAACGGACGTGCGCTTTTTCAACTCCTATTATCGAAGTTAGGGTTACATAGGAAACCAGCTTGTAAGCCATTTTATTTAAAAAAAAAATGAAAGACGTTTAAACCTCCTGTAACACCGAATTTGAGCGCACCTCCAGAGGAGGAGGAGGGAAGGGTGCTGAGGGGAGTAGGTGGAAAGTCCCCCACTACTAACATGGCTGTGGATCGATGTGTGCTTAACGCAAATCACAGAAAATGCACATCTTTGGTGAGGGCATCGCGTGTAAATTTAGCGGGAATCTAGCGGGACAATTTTTCCCCTAACTTTAGCGGGGAATGTTTCCACTAGATTTAGCGGGGAAATGTTTTGCGCTAAATCTAGCGGGCAATTTAGCGTCATACTTATCGTCAACGTCATCGTCACTGATAAGGTTATCAGTGACGTCACGTGGGACGTCATTGTCATCGCGCGGTAACGCCGACGGCGACGGTAACGCCGCTCAAGTCGAAAACGGGCGCCTAAGAGCTGCGCTCTAATAACATAAGAGTTTCAGACTATGGAGAAATATTGGGACAACACAACACCGTCACGGTGCTGTGTCGTTCCAAGTTGTGTCCCTATTCTCAAGATATTTTTTTAGAGCGCAGCTCTCATGCGCCTGTTTTCGGCTTGAACGACGTCGGCGTCGCCGTAGCAGTCGGCGTCAGCGTAACCGTGAGTCACGTGACCCTGCTCCTGAGCTCACGTGAACCCCCCACGGGGGTCACGTGACCTCACGGGGGCCACGGGGGGTGAGAAAGTAGGAGGGAGGAGGAGGAGGAGGGGAGGAGGGAGGAGGGGTATACCCTCCACTCAGTACCCTTCCATGCTCCTCCTCCGTTTACAACTCCTTACAAGGAGTTGTAAACGGTTTTCATTTTTTTACTATACTCATTATGTTAGCTGAGTGAAATGGTAGCACTTATGCGTGAATGAAATTAGAAAGTAAATCAGTATAATTTAGGCTGCTAATACAGCGGCCAATATCTGTACTCTTTCTTGAAAAAAAAATATATACTCATTTTGTGTACATTGCTAAACATTTCTTAGAACATTCTTAAAGTATTTTATCAGTTTACTGGGAGCATCGAAAGGAAAAGAGCAGCAGGGCGGCACTTCCGAGTGAGCTGCCTCTGGCACTTGCTTGCTTTCTTGGGCTTTGCTTTCACTTGTGTACGCGCGCTCGAATGTCGCGAGACTCCGAAGCATTGCTTTAGGTAGGAAAGAGGGTCGCGTTGGGAGGGGGAAT